AGGTGCGGAAACTGAGAGTAGATTTGGAGGCAACTGTAATATCCTTGCATGTAGCAAAGCTGTCACGGTGGTCCATTAATCTCTTTAAGGGTTAACTGCCAAAACAAAAGCTGGTGGTTGTTGCTGAAACACAGGCACACGGCTCAGCCCGGCAAAGCTTCAGCTGCTTTTCACACTAGGACCCAGTGGTAATAATCCTTCCTGATCTCATTTTTGCAAGGGTGAATGAAAAAAAATCATTTTTTTCTCTCTTCTCTGCCAGGCGAGATGAAAAGAGACATCCCCCTGCCTATGGATTTTTACTAAGTATTTACATTTGTGCAGGACATTTTTGCACAGGGTGTGATTGCTGCTACCTTAATGCACAATCGGGTTGTTTTTTTGATCCCTAACACTATGCATGTGCCAATGGGTGAATCCAGATAGTACAAATCTTAACAACTTCAATCGCATCTCAACTACCATGGCTCCATCTTGCACAATCCTGGGATCTCTAGTTTGGTGAAAGTAAAGGTAAAGGTTTCCCCTGACATTAAGTCTAGTAGTGTCGGACTCTGGGGGGTGGTGATCATCTCCATTTATAAGCCAAAGAGCCGGTGTTGCCCATAGATACTTCCAAGGTCATGTGATCAGTATGACTGAATCGAGCACCATTACCTTCCCACACTCGCTGCAACACCTCAGCAAGCAAGAGTCCAAAAGTGGTAGGCTAAACCTTAATCAATGGCTGATACCAAATGAGAGACTCCATCCTGGGCACACAGAAAACTGGGTGACCTGACTCTGGGAGTTGGTGATCATCTCCTTTTCTAAGCCAAAGAGCTGGTGTTGCCCATAGACACCTTCAAAGTCATGTGGCCAGCATGACTGAATGGAGCACCATTACCTTCCCGCACTCGCAGGAACACCTCAGCAAGTGAGAGTCCAAAAGTGGCAGGCTAAGCCTTAATCAATGGCTGATACCAAATGAGAGACTCTCTTCTGGGCACATAGAAAATTGGATGACTTGGAAGGCACTGAACAGAATGCGCTCTGGCACCATGAGATGCAGATCCAACCTTAAGAAAGGGGCTACAAAGTGGAATCCGCGACATGCGAGTGTGGAGAAGAACAAACCACAGACCACCTACTACAATGCAGCCTGAGCCCTGCTACATGCACAGTGGAGGACCTCCTTGCAGCAACACCAGAGGCACTCCAAGTGGCCAGCTACTTGTCAAAGGACATTTAATAAAATGCCAAGTCTGCAAATTTTGTGTTTTTTAAAAAATACAATACAACTTTTGGGCCACTCCTGACACAATAAATAAAACCTTCCTGCAAAAGCAGTACCTATTGATCTACTCACAATTGCATGTTTTCAGACTGCTAGGTTGGTAGAAGCTGGGCCTAACAGTGGGAGCTCACCCCACTGCTCAGATTCAAACTGCCAAACTTTCAATCAGCAAGTTCAGCAGCTCAGCGGTTTAACCCGTTGCATCACCAAGGGACCAGTTTGGTGAAGCTCTTATCATTCTCTTGTGCATACCTTTCAGTAATAGCACTTCATAACACAACATTCCCAAGGTTCCACAAGGATGGAGCCGTTGGCAGTTTAGTGTGGTATAAAACCGATAGAGCTGTATAGTATGGATGGGATGCACCCAAAGAAGATTAGTTTACTAAGAGTTTATACA